ATCGAAACTCACATTTTTACGTACATTTAAGGAAGAACACATTGATAAGAAATTGTCAGTCAAAAAGTGGCCGCCAATATGTCTAATCCAATTAATAGTATAAATTTTTGAGCGAAAATTTTATTTCGTTAATTTATTTTTTAAATAGAATGCGCTGCTCATGACATATATGCATGTTTTTTATATTTCATTAAAGCTAATTTTTTTTTCAATATGATGATATTAGGTTGACTGAGCAAAAATGGTCGCAAATTAGACCAAGAGAAAATAAATTATTAAGATAAATAATACTAAGAGTAACAAACTTCACTTGAAATTTGTTACTGTTTTTGTACTTGAAATTTGGAAACGTTTTTCGTTCCTTTTTGCAGTTACAAAGTAACACCACCTTTTTATAGTTCTATAAAAATTAAAAACACTACCAAATATAATTATAAAATTAAGTAACAATATAAAATATCTTTGAATAAATGTCCTGCGTACATTACCTCATCAGTACGAAACTCCAATTAATATTAATTCTTCTTCTTCATGTACCATGTCCTTTCAGAACGTTGGTTACCATCATAGCTATTTTAATTTTATTCACTGCCACCCTAAATAGCATGCTTGTATCTACACCATACCAATCTCGCAATTTCTTCAACCATGAGGTTCTTCTTCGTCCTGGACTGCATTTGCCTGCTATTTTTTCTTGCATGATATTTTGTAGCAATCTATATTTGGGACCTCTCATTACATGTCCGAAATATTCCAGCTTTCTCTGCTTGATGCTTTTTATGATCTCAGTAGTCTTGCTGAGACGTTCTAGTAATGTGGAGTTACGAATCTTCTCCACCCAGGAAACTTTTAAAATTCTTCTATAGCACCACATTTCGAAAGCCTCAAGGCGATTTAGATCGATTTTATTCACAGTCCAGGACTCGACAGCATAAAGTAAGACCGAGAACACGTAGCAGCGAAGTAGGCGGATCCTTAATGCCAATTTTAGGTCTCTGTTACATAACACCTTGGACATCCTTCTAAAACCAGCTCTAGCCTGCTCTATTCTGGATCTAACTTCGCCGTGATTTTCTGCATTACAATTTAATTGCTGTCCAAGGTAGACGATTTTATCAACTTGCTCAAGTTTGGTATTATTTACATATATAGACGGTTTTATATTCTGTTGTTTACTTATTACGAGTATTTAATATTAATTGCGAAATATCAAAAAATCAATAGGACAGAAATCTGCCATGTATCTTGTTTTAAAAATATTCCTTGCCTAACCTATATAAAATCTTCCAGTTCATATAAATATAAAACAAATTAAATACATGTATATACATATATATATATATATATATATATATATATATATATATAAATATATAAAAATTTAAAATTAAATAATACGTATAACTATCGACGCTTGCTTTAAAAACTATCACAACTGACACTTCAAACCAATAGCGTTGCGAGCAAGCTGTCTTTTATTTTATATTTAATACCTCGCGTTTTTAACAGCTGGCAACCCTAATTTTCAACAATTTTTCTCGGGCAACCTTATATCATCATATTAAGACAACAATTTGCTATACTTTTATATAAAAAAACTGTATTCTCTTAATTTTAAGTGTATGTAAGAATGTGCGTTTTGATAACTACGTTATAAACGTAGTGATCCTGCTGTGGTATTTTAGACATTTTTATTTCATTTGTTTTGACGTTCTGATTTCCGATCCGGAAACCCTTTAAAAAAAAATTATAAATTAACAAAATTTAGAAATAAACTGTACACCAATTTGACAGATGACATTTGAACAAACATATGACGAGGAATCAATTTCAAAACCTTTATAATTTTCACTAATTAATATCGCTTGTATAATATATTCTTAAATATCAAATATTATAAGCTTTTTGGATCTGACTTGTTTAATAATAAAACCTTCAGATTAGAATAAATCAAATAATTTCAATACGTAGGCTAAAAATAGTTTTCTCAATGTTAAAAGAGTCAATAATACTGAAAGAGTCTTTCAATCTAACCACCTATACGTACATGGTCACAGAAAAGAATTATCCCTATGTTAACAAATGTCTATTTTTGCTAATTGTGGAAAATTGTTGGCTATAGTTTTATACTAGAAATATCTTTAAGGTTTAACATTTTATATATTTGTTTTTTTTTAATAAGCAAATAAATATGAAAATAGGAGCAACAATAATATTTATATATTAAATTAAATCTTCTTCTTATGGTGCCTATCCGTTACGGATGTTGGACACTAACATGGCTATTCTGACTTTGTTGACTGCTGCTCTGAAAAGTCCGGTAGTGGTTAAGTTAAACCATTTTCACAAGTTTTGCAGCCAGGATATTCTTCTTCGTCCTGGACCTCTTTTCCCATGCACTTTACCTTGAAGTATGTTCCGAAGTAGGTCATATCGTTGTTCATTGCACATTATACGGTCCAGGTATTCCAGTAAATTAAATCTTAGGTATCCCAATTGCTAAAGATAACTGAACTGGGCCGTTAAGGGCCATCTTCATGGCATGTCTATTTTTAAGAGCAGCATGCCAAATTATTTGATAAAGAAGACGTTCGAATAATGTTTGCTTCCAGTCATGACTTAGACGAAACACTTTCCTTAATCCAGGCTAAAGCAACTAAACTCAGAGTAGCTCAAAGACGAATGGAACTCTCGCTACTTGGACTGACTCTCATAGGCAGCGTTAGAAACGAAGAAATAAGAAGGACAGGCGTCACAGATGTCATAGAACGTATAGCATGGCTAAAGTAAAACTGGGTGGGCCATTTGGCCAGAATGAATGACGGATGGTGGACCTAAAAAATTACAGTGTAAAAACCACAAGCTCACAGAAGAAGAAGAGGTAAACCACCTATATGATGGACAGACGACGTCAAAAGAATCGCCGATGTAAATGATGTGGGAGTTAGCGAAAGGGTGACTTAAGTACCTCTTCTGTCATGTCCGACGTTATTGATTATCTCAAGACAGAGTAAAGGAGGTGGGCTCTTGGTAAGGTAAACTTCCTGCCAAGAGTAGAATTAAAAACAGCACATAGAACAAAAATAAGCCTCGAAAACAGAATGATTCCTCAAACACGAAATTGGCGAGAAAATGGTACATGAATAAAAACAGAAAGAGAACCTTAAGGATGAAACGAAAGGAGAAACGAAGCAACAAAGACTAAAAATAATAAGTGTATACGGATCTGAGAGCTGTAAACAATAACAATCCTGGGTTAAATTATATGAAGATCTTCAAAAGGTCGTGGCTTCAATACCTCTAAATGTACCTATGAAGTGTTAAATTTAAATCTACTAATTTTTATAAAATTTTGATTAGCTAACGAAAATAAACATTTGATCCGCCATTAAATCAAATTTTGATTGCTTTATATTAACTACACGCTTAATAACTACGTAGTTAGTATCTCAAATTTTAACATAAAAACGTTATAAATCCATTTTTATATTATATTCAGTGAACATTTTTAAAATAGAATAAACTAAACTACAACAGAAAATGTGTTTCGGCATTGTAGCGAAACCTTACAAGCATTCGGCATTGATTTACAAATCCGAGAAATCAAATGGATATTTTCTGTGGATGGATCTGAAAGTTATAAGTTGAAAATGGAAATAAGGAAATGAAACAAAGGATCATTTTGAGTTTATTTTTACCAGTACCAGGTAAGAAGTGTTTTTGATAAGATTAGAACCTAGAATCACATGGATTAATCTAAATATAATGTAATAATATTCCAGTACAACAGATTAGACCATGTACTTCTAAGCAATACGTGCTAATTTGTAATGATCCTGAAGGCAAGATTGTCGAAATGCTAGAGTGTATCCTGTATTATCTGTAGATGATTGTTAAAAAAAATTTAAAAGGTATAAACAAACAAAGCAATACTTTACCAATTTATTAGTTTATTTCTTCTTTTCAGGTCATTGGCATTTTAATGTAATAAAAAATATACATAAATAAAAAAAAGAACAAAAAATCTTGTACCATAAAACTAAACCCGATAATATGATATACATGTTTATAAAAATGGATGTGTATACCATCTTTGTTCTGTCTTATTATAATTGAGTTCATATTATTTTATTTAGATTCATAGTTGTAATTTTTAAACTTTTAGAAAGTATGAACCCGTCAAATCCGTCGGCTGTTGTTGTCGCAGCCGCTGCGTCTGTAGATGGTTCTGATAAGGAAAATATGAATGACTTTGTAATTTACGTTTTTTCCCTAAGGTAAAATTATATAGTTCTTAGTAACTCCGTACCCTCTACTAGGGGTTTCTTTTAGGCATTTTGTAATGTACTTTTAGTAGTATCGAACGAAACTCAATTTCTAAATATATATAGTAAGCAATAAATAGTTCTATGAACTTGTCGTCGTATATTATTTTAATCTAATAAAATAATATTTTATAGCAAATGTATCTCACGGTAAACTAACCGTGGGTTAAGACAATATTTTTGGATAGAGAGAATTTTTTGACTTTTTATTTGTCTGGTCTATATTCATTTTCCATGGCTTATAAATGATTTTTTAGTAGAATATTATTAAAACCATACGTTTTGAATTTTCCGCCAAATGTTTTAGTCCATGGCTCGAAAACATAGAAAGCTAAAAAGTTTCTTCCTACTTCTGCGCTGTGTTTATTTTTTTAATGAGGGTATATCTGCGCATTTGTCATTTGTATATGAGACTAATCACCAATATACATTACGAACCAACATTTTGAATGTTTTTCAACAATCAAATAAATATCACAAAATATATTAGAATTTCAAATTCTTCATTAATATTATTTTAATTGATTGTTCTTACGTTCAAAATCGGTGCTAGTTATTTTTTATTTATAATTTTATCCAACTATCCAACTTAGTATCTACAATTAGCAAAAATAACTTGATATGTGCCAACAACCACTGACATTTTTCTTAGAATTACCAAAAGTTCAGTTTAGGTCATAATCTTGAAATATTCTTAACTTTTCTCATATTTTCCATCCAAACTTCCAACCAAGCAAAAGACACGACGGCTATAACCATGAGAAATGCCAGTGAATATAACTTCCAGATATTACACAAAAAGCCATGAAGTAGAAAAGATAATGATAGTCCTGAAAATTTGAAAAAGTTTGCGTTGGCAAATGCTGCTTCCCAATTGTCGGCATATTGGCCAGTCAAAAATGCTGAAACAGAAAACAAAGTTATTAAGTCATTGATAAATTATCTTTAAGTGCTAGTTAATAATTCGTTTACAATTTTTATTAATTGGTTTACATTAACTTATAAGCAAATAATATTTTATAGACAAATAATATGTAACCTGAATATGATGTATTATTCAGTAGAGTGGCGTAGCAAAATCTAAAGCACTACTCATTATGATTTGTCGTTAACTTTTTATTTATTTATTTTTATTTTAAATATTAGCAAAAGAATAAAGGATCCTAGTAAATATAGCGGGTTTAATCAAATTTCTGAATGAAGAGAAAATAATGCTTTCATTATTCTTCCATGGATACCATGGAAAAAATACTTACTAAAAATGAGCATTTCCCAAATAGCATTACATACTCCCCATGATGCAGAAATCACATAAAAAAGTGCTGGATCATCTTCACTTGGATTCCATAAAATTAAAACCATTATGAGACAACCATGAAACGCAAATCCAACACCTAAAATATAAGTTAATTATAACAATAAGATAAAAAAAATTTTATAACAAATCAAAATTTAATAGAATATTATAATATAATGATTAATATAAATAATATAAATAGTATAAATAATATAAATAATATAAATATTATAAATAATATAAATAATATAAATAATTATATATATATATATATATATATAATATAATTAACCTGTGGGAGTTTTTTATCAGTTCTTCTATCAGACGCGGCCCCCTGCGAATGGGGGATGCTCTCTGGGTATTCTTAGAACCGATACTTAGAGGGTAACAGGAATACCTGTCGTGGAACAAAAACTGACACCTGGCAGTAGGTATAAAATGCACACCCATGAAAATGGAGACTAATAATTATATATGTTTAGGGTCGCTGCCTGGGGATCGCCAGGGCACGTCTGGAGCCGGCGCTGGACGTGACAGCTTGCGGGACGCCGGTGGCAGGGTGTTGAGGAGGCGGGCCCCTGTCATACAATCAGCTACAGCCCAACAACAACAACAACCACAAGTAAGCCAAACAACAACAAGAGCTCCACTCGCTGAAGGTGCTGCGCTGGAACATTAGCCGGCGCTCACACAAGCGGGATGACCGAGGCAGCGCATGAAATGGGCTATGTCTATAAATGAAAACATTTTGCGCTTCTATTACAAGGTGACGAACCTCGGTCGAGAAACGATCGGCTATAGACAACAACTGTACCTATGCCGAATTTTGCAGGGAGTATCCAGAGATTGAAGTATCTGAACAGCGAATAGCAGATCAATACCGGGTAATTATAAGAAATAATCTTATCCCAGAGGCTAGACGCGCTACCATTAGAAGCGAAGTCGAACGGGAGATTCATAACCAAGAGCTAGTTGTGGATCAAGACCATAATGAAATCCCAAATGAGCAGATTCCTGAGCCCCTTATACAAGACACTCAACCTGTTAATACCCAGCAGGACAACGAGTTGCACAATAGCCTGGTAAGAGAAATGGCACGTGCCATACAAGAGTTTAATGGTACAAACCCACTTAGTAGACCACCGCTACCAAAAATAAACTCTTGTAAGAAACTAGGTGCGCTGTTACAAATTATGAACACTGAAGTCCTACCCAATTATATCGTGGAAGCACATTAGAATATTTGCATATGCTGATTTACTGTGCAGCAACAACAATTGCTAATGTTATGGGCATTAAGATCAGAACACGACGGGGAACTAATATCGGAAGGACTGAAAACAGAATTGTACCCTGGGAAAAAAGACTGCTGAGGAAAATTGAATTATTGCGCAGGGATATTGGGCAAATTACGGAATACATCCGAGGAGTAAGAAGTCAAAAACTAATTAAAAGAGCTGAAGAAATTATTCTGAACACTTCAAGACATTCCTAACATGATCCAGAAAACAACACAGCTCAACACTACCTAGACACATTTAAACAAAAACTCTCCGTTTATTCAGGTCGCTTAAGGAGATACAAAAGTTAGTAACAACCGTAAATGCGACAATATACTTTTTGAGAATTCAGAGAAGGCTTTCTATAGGAAACTAAATTCCACTGTAGAAAATGTAAATAAATCCTACCCAAGCCAAGAAGAAATTCATGAGTTTTGGGGAAATCAACTTTCAACGCCAGCTACCCATAACAACAATGCTGGATGGATTGAAGACACGGCGAACAATTGTCAACATTATAGGAATATTCCTTATGAACCTTTAACCACTGAAGAAGTCTTGAACATCATCAAAGAGCTTCATAACTGGAAATCTCCTGGACCAGACGGAGTTCAAAACTTCTGGTTAAAGAAGTTTTGGAGTGTTCATGAGATTTTAACAGTATTTATTAATAATATTTCTAATTTACAGGAAATACCATCATTTCTTACTCAGGGAACCACTTATCTAATACCGAAGGATCAAAAATAACACCCAAGATCCAGCCAAGTACCGCCCAATTACTTGTCTTCCAACTTTGTACAAATTGGTCACATCCTGTGTGGCCCGGCGTATCTACCAACACTGTGCTCTGAACAATATCATAAAGCCCCAACAGAAAGGATGCGCTATGGGCTCCATGGGATGCAAAGAACAACTTATTATCGACTCAGTCATTTCTAACCAGGCATACACCAAAAAACGAAACCTGTTTACTGCCTTCATTGACTACAAGAAGGCTTTTGACTCAATGCTGCATGAATAGCTTATAGCTATATTGAAAATATATAAAGTCGATGATAATCTCGTGACCTTTTTGAAGCATATAATGACAAAGTGGAAGACTAAAATTCACCTTCAAATACCTGGTGACACCAATATCGAAACTGAAGATATCGCTATTAACCGAGGCCTTTTCCAGGGGGACTCGCTGAGTCCACTTTGGTTCTGCCTAGCGATGAACCCACTATCTCAGCTGCTGAACTCCACTGACTCAGGATTTAGCATCAAAAATAACAACACTGTTGTGGCGAAGCTTAATCATCTGTTGTATATGGATGATTTGAAACTAATGGCTTCCACTCGAAATCACTTAGATCAGATGCTAAAAACTGTAGAAACTTTCTCAAATGATATCAGTATGCATTTTGGACTAGACAAGTGCCGTATACTAAATATAGTCAGAGGAAAGGCTCAGCCCGGAGGTTTCGATATGCAAGATGGCCAAAACATCGAGGCAATGGGTGAAAATGATATTTACGAATATATCGGAGTAAAACAGGTGCGGAAAATTGACCATAAACAGATGAAAACTGAACTAACTTCGCAGTTTGTGCGAAGAATAAGACAACTAAATCGGTCATATCTGAACAGTAAAAATTTGTTTAAGGCATTAAATACGTACGCCTGTTCCGCGCTGAGCTACTTATTTGGTATTATAAAGTGGTCAAAAACGGATATAGAGGGTCTTCAGCGGAAAGTAAGAACACTTCTCACAAAGGCGCAAAAACATCATCCACGCAGTGCATTAGAGAGAACAACATTACTGCGGTATCAAGGAGGAAGAGGACTTATGGATATAGGTGAGCAATTAGATAAACAAATTGCTAATTTAAGATCTTATTTTCAGGTACAGGCTGAGACATCTACTTTACATCGAGAAATTTGCGCAGTAGATGACACAACGCCGCTTAAACTGAGGGAACAAGAAATGCACACAAACCATCTGACTAAGCAAGAAAAAATGCGCACCTGGATGAGTAAACCTCTGCATGGGCGACATCTCAATGAGATCAACCAAGAATATGTCGACAATACAGCGTCGAACTATTGGTTGACATCAGGAAAGATGTTTCCCGAGACTGAAGGTTTCCTACTTGCCATTCAGGATCAGGTTATTCCAACTAAAAATTACCTGAAATGTATTGTTAAAGATCCTCAAGTACAAAATGACAAATGCCGATATGGATGCCAAGCCCAAGAAACCATCCAACATCTTACCGGTGGCTGCCAGGAATTTGTCGGTACTGATTATAAAGAACGCCATGACTCAGTAGGAAAGATTATCCACCAAGAACTAGCTGACAAACTGGGACTTCTCCAAACCGACCATCTTCCTTATTATCAATATGTCCCTGACAAAATGCTTGAAAATGACAACTACAAGCTATACTGGGACCGCACTGTGCTCACAGACCAACCAGTGGCCCATAATAGACCGGATCTCATACTAGTGAATAAAATTACCAGGCAAACAACACTTATTGATGTGGCGATACCTAACACTAACAATCTGCTTGTTAAATACAACGAAAAGATCGCCAAGTATAGAGATCTGAAAATACAAATCAAGAGACAATGGAGAATGGAAAGTACCCAGACAGTACCTATTGTTCTATCTACTACTGGTGTTATTCCCAAAAACCTCCTAGCGAACATAAAACAGCTGGGTCTAAATGAACATCTTTATAAGGCCATGCAGAAAGCTGTACTCCTCGCGACCTCCAGATGTGTACGAAAATTTCTGGGAGATACTCCGACATACCAAGTCACCTAGGGCTCGATAACACGGAAAGAGTCCCACCAGAGCTCAATCCTTTTGATACCGTAGGTATCTGGGATGAGTGAATTTTCCCCTTAGAGGGAGTGTGAGCCGTATGGCTAAATCTGGGATTTAAATAATAAATAATTTTTAGATGCAGGCTTAGACATCCGCTCTATATCTACATCATGCGATTTGCGAATTAGATGGCACAGAACCGATCAAACTGAGGGAAACAGATATGCACGTAAACTATATAACTAAGAACGAAAAAATGCACATCTGGATGGTTAAACCTTTACACGGGCGACATTCCAATTAAGTAAGTCAAGATTATGTCGACAACACAGCGTCTAATGATTGGTTGACATCAGGAAAGATGTTCCCTAAATCAGAAGGTTCAGTACTTACCATTTAGGATCAGGTTATACCAACCAAAAATTACCTGAAATATCTCGGCAGAGACCCTTAAGCCCAAAATAACAAATGCCGATATGGATGTCAAGGCGTAAGAAAATATCCAACATCTTACTGCTGTCCGGCATTTGTTGCAACTGAATATAAGGAACGCCATGACTCAGTAGGGAAGATCCTTCTTCAAGAGATATCTTTTAAACTAGGACTACTCCAAACAAATTATCTCCCATATTACCAATACTTTCCTGAGAATATGCTTGAAAATGACAACTACAAGCTATATTAGGATCACACTGAGCTCACAGATTAAACAGTATTACAAAATATACCAAATTTCGTACTAGTTAATAAACTAACGAGACAAACACTAATTGATGTGGTGATCATCATCATCATCATCCAGCCGAATTTTCACATCCATTGTTGGATATAGGCCTCCTCCAAACGTCTCCAGTTCTCTCTATCTCTAGCTGCTGCAATCCAGTTTGTTTCTATCCTCCTTAGGTCGTCGGTCCATCGGGTGGGTGGTCTGCCTCGACTTCGCTTGTCGGCTCTTGGTCTCCACTCCAATAATCTCTTCGTCCATCTTCCGTCTTCCAT